GACAATCCCTAGGCACATTTTGTTTATCGGACATTGTCGTCGTATTGTTAAATATAATAGGTAAACTTAAAACGTATTTTTCGTTTCGGCCGTCGGCTAATGCCAAACTGTAAGTATAAATTATATTTGGTTTGGTTAGTGACGGTTTGGGCTGTATTCATATTATTGTACTTACCGATACGAAACAATAATATGTGTATAGTACATCGTTTGTTTGCACACTGGAAACAACCTATCGCAGCCGCCACCTGGCGTACTGTGGTCTGCGTTGTCCCTCTTTGCGAACGCGCCGCGTATTTTGACAGGGTACTGATGTCGTAAAAAAAAAAAAAATGATATTACAAAAAAAACCCGAGGGTAGTTGTGTTTCTATACTAGGCGCGCAACGTTGTTCCGTTTAATAATTCATTATCCGGTCTGTATACGCGTACGCGATATAGCGCGAGTTAATTGTTTTTTTCCTATATTTTCGTGCGTTATGTATACGATATAACCGCCAACCGGAAACGCGCACCGTGAGCGTTACGCGTTGTCGTCGGTGATTTTGAAAAATCTCAAATTAAAAAAGGGAAAAGTAACTTATTTGCTGCCCGGAGGAGAAAAGGTACTCCCCGCGGACCGGATCGCAGTTGACCGTCGTCCGGCGTTCAATATTGTGTGTGCCGCGTGTAGCCCCATACACACGTACGAGAAATCTGCATTTCGGCGGTGCGCGTACCCTACGCAATGGCCGTCGGGTTTTTTTTTTTTTTTTTTTTTTTTTTTTCGTTCAAATCTCATTCACGCACGCAGTACAAATGACCGTAGGTCCCGATATTTAATTCACGCGTACCCCGTTATAAATTATCTAACGTAATATAATATAATGTTATTAGACGTTTGTGCGTTTTTTATGGCCGTGTTCATTGGTTATTACTATTTTAACTATAGGCTCGTGGGCATAGACTTTTTAAAGGTATTCATGTACGAAAGACCGCGTGGATGCGATGCTATTGTCGAAACGGATGTTTTCATAGAAACGTATATTAACGCGAAACTAAAGAGTATATAATATGCTGACTCCGTTAAAACCGAAAATCAATTTAATTCGTTGTTCCGCTAGATTTATTATACAGGCAGGTACATGTTTTAATCTGCAATACGTATGTGTTGCCCGACTGTAACCTTTTATGCTAAACGTGAACAATTTAGAAATAAGAATCTCGATATTTCTTTTGTTAGATTCTGAGCACATTTACGGATAATAAAAATGTTTTTTTTGTTTTTTGTTTTTTCTTATATCATATCGACAAATCTTGATTGCGGGTATTTTGTGTTTGAAACACTTACCGGGATATTCAGCAGTTCACCTGCCAGATCCTTTTTGGTATTTGATTTTAGATTCCGTGCGTAGCGAGGGGCTATTGGTTTTACTAAGATGTTAATTTTTTTCTTTTTTTTCTTTGTTCTTGCCTGTGGACACGTTTTTTCCTAGTAAATTTGCTCCGATTTTTACTTGTAACAATTTTTTTGAAAGCTCGAGTTATCTAAATTGTACTTTAGACAAGTCATTTTTTGATTTTCTACGCCAATTTTTAAATAAAACCACTTAAGTAGGAAAAAACGTAGAAAAACGTACAATTTCACGATTTCGTTATTTTATAAAAACACGGACGACGTTTTCCACCAGAAAAAATGATTTAATCGAAAAATCACGAGAAAACTTTTTTGTTGCCTTTCGATTCACTTTCTTACGGTATCATGGCCAAAACTATGGAGCCGCTTTGAGCTTTTAAGGAATTTTTATTTTTGGGAGTTTTTCTACTATTATTCGGTTATGAATACACGCAGAGACTTGAAACTTGATAATAATACTTATATTTGACTTGCATAGAAGTGGTAAAATTTTAAAAATCATCGGACGACATTTTTTTTTTTTTTAATAATCGTTTAGAAATCAAATCTAAACAAAAATGGCAAAAAAAAAAAATTACGGCACTTCAAATTATATATTACCGAGCTGCGCTCGGAATCATCTTTCGTCAAGCAATGGTTTATCGTTGCTTACAAAAATAAATGAAATAACCTTATGTATCCTATCTTTCCAAATTCTCACCTACAACAGTGGATGTTCCCATCTCCAGTAACAGCTCTTTTTTGTTTATTCCTTGGTTACCAACAAGGGGAATAACAAGACTAATATTACCCACTTTGCTCAGAATCGTTTTTTCGTTTTCCATGATTTATCGTTGCATACAGCGACATAAACTATATGTCCCTACCTTTCCGACTACCATCCTACAATAATCTACAATATCAATGTCCTATCCGTGAGCAGAATCAATTTCTTTACTTTACTTATTATTTTTCAAACGGCTTTCTTGATGAAGACAATTTAAACAGTACAGCAGAAACTATATTATAATAAACTTTTGAATAATAATAAATATAAAACTAATGTATATAGGGGACAAGTTTTTGTATAAGTATATGCAAAAAATGTTTGAAAAAGTTAACGTTAAACGAAAAAAATAGCCGTTCGAACTTGAACATAATAATAATTTAAATTGGACGAACCTCGGGAGCATAGTATTATTTTATCGCGAGAAAAAAAATTGACCTCTTTTATTGAAATAGTAAAAAAAAAAAAATGTTAATTTTCTCGCGACGTTATAACATCGCGTCATCGCATGATAAACATTACACACCTCTACTACAGCTATACTTTCCATTGCCTTTATTATTAAAAGACACGTATATTCTACAGATATATTATACTATTATAATATAGGTACTAAATATTGCTAGCTATACTATAAGTGATAAGAGCTGTAAATGTCCCTGCCCGTCATTGTTTCCGTGTGTTTTCCTCGGGCCGTTCAAGTGATAAGCTGTACACTCTTAACACCGTACGATCGTTAATCAACATCGTATACCTTATACTTATAAACGGAACACTGTGTAGTTTACACCTGCCACAACAGATAGCGTCTCACGAAGCGTGCAATGCGCGCATGCGCACTAAATGCATGACGATACAGGATAGATATATTATTTACGGGACACAATACTGGTGTATTTAAATGTGCACTATTGTTATCAGCTATCGTTAGCTATCGTTATTGTTGCCTACCTGTTTTGAAATAAACGCGACTCGAATACTTCAATGTTATCAATTAAAATACAATAGATTTTACGTTTTCACAATACTTTAAAAATACGTCATAATGGGTCGTAAGCAGAAACCCGTCTACACGTTACACAAATAATGTAAGAACTCATTGTTAACTACCTATCGTACACCGGTGATAACCAATATAAATCACCGAATAAAGCCGTTCAGTTAGACATTCGCTATTTCACTGTTCGCCGAGTGTTCAGTAGTTGTTTTACGCTCGTCGATATTAAGACAATAATAATTTAAAAAAAAAAAAATTGATTGTTTCGCAGAGTGGACATCACCGCGGCTCTAATTTTCTCGACTGCGCCATCCTACTGGGAAATATATGGACGTTCCGTCCATACGAGTATAAGGTAGATGATGATTGACATTCGATATCACCACCAGTCGACCACTCCGAGTTGCGCCACTGCTGGTATATACAAAATACCTAGCTATATTATTTTCAACAGTCATAAATGCGGTTAGTTCACATAAAATCGATTATTGTATAATCGGTTAATCATTAAAAAAAAAATAATGATAATAATAAAAAAAATAAATATGAATACAAATCCAAACAATTTAAAAAAAAAAAAAAGTAGAAAATTAACGAAAAATTGTATACACGTACACAAGGAGGCATTATTTTGTACACGGTCGAGATTGAAGCGTATAGATCTCGGACTAGAATAAAAAAAAAAACGATCGCGGGCCATATAATAATAATATCGCCACAGCAGCTCTATGCGTATGTGTATAAATATTATTAAACGTGTACCGGAGCAGAGCGTTTATTTCTGTAAGCGCCATCCCTGTAATTATTATCAATTCCGAATATTCCGTGGTTTTGAGCGCGTATATATTTTAAATCACATTTAATTACTGAAATTAAAACGCGCAGCAACAACAAATACCTATTCTCGCGCATAACGATTAACCGGATATTCCACTATTCAACGTCTCGGACGAAAAAAAAAAAAAACAATGATAGCAATAATTATCCGTAATTCGTCCGGTGCGATAATTAGCCGTTTGCGTCATGGAAAAAAAAAAAAAAACGTGATTGAGTCCGCCTTTATATTATTTCCAGGGAGAAACGATAATATAATTACTATTCCGTAGAAAAAAAAAAAAAATCGCCGAAGAAGAAAATAATAATAAACGATATTATTATTACACGATCGGCACAATAAGAAAAAATATTTTATGTTCGGGGGGCATCGATTGGTAAAAGTATTTTTTTTTATTTTTTTTTTTTTTTTTCCTATACTGTACACTGCGCCGCCCGCCCGCCGCCGCTCTCGCAGTATAACATTACCATAATATTTAAATATTGTATATACGCGCATACCCTTCGGCTCTAATTATCCAGGAATCTTATTATATTATGCACATAGATGGATTTTTTTTTCTAATCAATTATAATTACCCCGACGCAGGTATACTGTATAACTCGCACCACTCGCACACGCGCACCCATATACGCGCGCGGCGTCTTATGAATTATTCAAGTTATCCCCGTCCACGCGACGGCGACGCAAGGGGACACACTACGATATTATTAACAAAAAAAAAAAAAAAATAAAAAAAAATCATTCCCGATTGACCTTATATATTATAATACGCGGTTTCGTATATGGGGGGGGGGCTTGAAACGCGCGGCCTTTGAGAAAACCCGACCAACTACTAATATATAACAATACTAACGTTATACAGGATGCCGGTGTTCGAGTGAAAGGAGCACGAGAACCTTTGATGACGCGCCGAACTGGGAGAAATCTACGTATAAATAATAAAGTATACATATATATATATAGGTGTATACAACGATGAAATTAAAAACGTTTTCGGTTTGGTCAGATATGTTACAGCAAAAGGAGATTAGAAAAAACAAATCGAATCGCCTGTTCGGAAGAGCGCCCCCGGGAGGACCGCGGTTAACGCGGTATAACCGGTAGGAGCGCGGTTTGAAGACGCGACGATGCGGTGTCAGTGGCGTAGCCGAGATTTTAAATTGGGAGGGCGATAAATACTTTTTCGCTCGATAAATGTGCGTAGATAAAGAGAATTTCGACCCCCGTCCCCGTCGAAAAAATGAAAAAAAAAATGATTTTATCAACACGCATTCTAAAAAAAAAAAAAGTCAAATAAATACGGAGAGAGGACACCCTGACCTCCTCTACACTACGCCACTGCACGGCGGAGCCGCGAACAGTCAACGGAAGCGAAATGCCGACGGGGGTGTAGATGGATAAGTGGCAATGAGTACGGTAACACGTACATCGGTATTATAACGGTCTCGTAACCGGTCGAAAACAAAGAGGCGGAATAAAAAGTACCTGTGCTAGCTAATACCGGTACAATAGTGTTCGAGCCGATTGTCCCGGCGTATCGCGGGCCACGAGTGTAACGACAATTAACGCGATCGTCTTCCAATGACATTAGACAACGACGAGATAAAAAAAAAAAATCATTATTGTGGTTCCTCGTGTTGTCCGGGGGCAGCTGTTATCCTACGTATATGTACGCAGCTGAAATCGAATACGGCACAAAGCAAAGCGAAGGAAAAAAAAAAAAAATAATACCGTTTAAAATCGAACGAAACCTTCGGATAATAATAACAACAACAAAAATAATATCGCGTCGTCTGAAAACGCCGCTTTTAGACTAAATACAATAATAATTGAAAAAAAAAAAAAAAAAAACACACACGCGAAAACGCGTACGTATACCTGATGGCAATAATTACGTGTATCGAATTTCTATCCGAATTACCGCGGCGCGACCGTTGCCGAGCGGTTTAACTCTTTGTTTATTTCGTGTCGGCACAATGCGACGGCGACACATTATCCGCTGTAAAAATAGAAACCGGCCGGGCGGCCGGTCAATACGAACCTTCGGTTATTTTTTTTCTCCGCCGTCATATTCTTCTTCTCTTTCCGTATTATTCGCCGTACGTATAAAACCCAAACAAACGTTTCGTTGTGTACGGCGATTTAATATCGTATATAAATACGTGTATAGACATATAATATCTCGTTAATTATTTACTTATCGCGTTTTTTCGATATTAAAAAAAAAAAAAAGAACAATAATAATAATAAAAATCGGATTTACAAGAGGCATGGCGGAGAAGAGAAAAAAAAAAAATTAAAAAAAAAAAATAACGCCCCATAAATAGACGTATTGTGTTAGAATTTCATTTTAAAGGCGGGCGGGCGGGAAGAGGGGTGGAAACGCGCCGCATACGGACGTGTACAATATAATATTTATCGTACAATAATAATAATAATAATAATAATAATACAGATCGACCGAGCGTAGGAACGCCGCTATTTATATACCCGTTCGTCTCTCACGTGAGACGGACGTATCCCCGCGCGGCCGTTCATTATGTTATTGGAATTTTATAGAGAAAAAAAAAAACAAAAAAAAACAAAAAAACCGAACGACACTCCGGCGGACGTGTCGCGTGTATCGCAGACACCGACGACGACGACGACGAGGACGTAAATGTTACATCGCGACCCATACACGACTCGGTCGGCAGATACGCCCGTCGGGTTGTCGGCCGTCGCGAAACGACGTCGCGTGAAACTTGCGCCGTACGGTCGCGCGGACGACAGACCGACGGCGAGGGAACGTTCACGCGGCGACGACGGGCGAGAAATCGAACTCTTACGGACGCCGGAAATAAAATATCGTCCGATTCGCCCGCGATCGTCCCGGTTACGATATTCGCGATGATTTCCGAGCAGACAGACTTATCTTCGATCCCGAGTGTAGCGAAAATAAAATAGACATGTTTTTATTATTATTATTATTTTTTTTTTCTTATACTGTGTAGAATCGATATTCTACCGGAAATCTCGCTCCGAAGTATCGTGTATAGCACTTTTTTTTTCTTTTTTTCTTTGAAAGGAAATTTTCGTGGACCGGTAATTTAGGGAGGCCGTTTTTCGATTTTCCCGGGAGTTTTTCCAATAAACGGGAAAAAAAAAATGATTGTAAAAACTGGGTAAAAACGGGAAAATAGATACAATATTAAACAAATATTGTTAAAGAAAATATAATAATGCATACATGCAATGATAAAGCAACACTGTTAACCAAACTCTGCTCGGAATCGTTTTCCGTTAGCAATGGTTAATCGCTGCGTACAGATATACGTTAAATTTCCCCTCTACTTACCCAACTTTTCACCTACAACAGTGGCCCATTCACGCGCGAATTATGTTAGTCTTTTTTTTCTTTTTCCATCAAATTTCCCTCGAAATCGGAGAATATTGCAGTAATAATATGCAATAATATCTTTTTCCCGCTTTTTCCCTTTGGACACGCTTAGCGAATCTTTTCGCACCGGATGAGCTCCAACTCGGGTATAAGGATGTTTTTTTCTACAGACGGATTAAAGTGATAACATTCTGGTTTAATTTCAATATTAATTTCAACGTGTTATTATGTGAGAGGGTGTTTCGGAGCTTTGAACTACCCTACAGATCTCCAACCCCCCCCAATAAGAGCCAGAAGATGCAATTTTGTATAATACGTAATGTATAAGTAACAAATATGTGCTTTCTGGTGGTTTGAACTTTAAATCATCGCCTCCGCAACAATTTTCATGCTCGGATTTTATGTTTTCACAAATTTTAAACACTCTTAATACAGACTCATGAAAGTAAGCGACTTGTTCAAATGTATACATATATATACATAATATAAGTTTAGAGCTTTTGTAACACGGGTGAAAATCAATGAACTGGCTTGGAACTTTATTTTATAGTTTTATTAAGTAATCCGAACCTTTTCGAAGATAGTAATGTGAAAAAAATTACAAATAAAAAAAAATAAAGAATACCCTAATGCATAATATATATATATATATACAGAGTGATTTTTTTTTATCACGAACCAACAATTATCTCAGAGCAATTTAAGTGAATTCGATTTCTGTTTGTTCTGATCATTATGGAATCGTTTAAGATTTATTTCAATAAAGAATAATTTTCTAGGGAAGGGTAATAAATTTAGATTAAAAATCTATGATTCTTCTCTACTCTTCCGGTTTACACTTTAAACTATTATAACTCATAAACGGTACATATGATATTAATCTAATGCATATCAAAATTTTTAGAAAAATAGTCTTTATTGAAATTAGTGTTCAAAAGAGGTTGTTTCTATAAAAAATCAAAAGTATACATTTATTTAAGGATAAATGTAGCAGGGGTAAAAAATTAAAAATGATTTTAAAATAAAACTTAAACGATTCCATAATGATCAGAAAAAACAGAAATCAAATTCATTTAAAATCCTCTGAGATAATTGCTGGTTCATGATAAAAATATCACTCTGTCTATATATAAAGAATTGTTGTCGAGGATGAAGGTCTAAAGTTTGACTTTCAACCCCCCACTCCATCGCCTGTTTGTTAATATATATTTTTTTTTCAATTTAGAAAAACGAAACTTGCGTTCGTTTCAATCCGTCGAACTTCCAAGTTCCTGATCTAAGTGTAATGAGAGGACTATACTGAGAGCATTCTTAATCTTGATGTATGGTGGTATTCGCTATAGAAATTTAATAATCTCTTCCGATAAATTTTGGAACTTTTGACCAGCGTAAAAACTAAAAAATTATTCAAGAGATGAAGGACTTTTTTGTAAAAAAAAATTAAAATTTTTCACTCAACAATATTGTGTGCGAAATGGCTATGGTATTTATGCCTAACCGGCTGCGGACTATGTACGAGTATATATTTATACACGAGAAAACTGAGCGAGCGCATATTATAAATGACGCGCGTGAGATCGTGTACAATATTAAAATCGATATAATAGAGTATTATAAATATTGCGAGTATATAAACATATATACAGGGTGTTCCACGATGATTCCACACTCGAAATAACTTTTGTTTTATTCAATAGCTTCATATTTTTTTATTATTTTTTTTTAAATAATACGTATTCCTTTGCGCTACAGTTAATATATCCGTTACAATTTATTTTTAGACGGGAGTACTTAAAAAAAAAAATTCTAAAATTCTACTATCATTTAAAAAAAAAAAAAAAAAAAATTAAAAATGGCAATTTTTTTAAACAGATTTTTAGAAAATTGTTTGTGGTTGGAACTTTTGTTCAATTTTTTGAACTTTTGGCAAATGTAAATAGCGTTGCGGTTTATAATCTATTACAACATTTAATCTGAGTACATCGAATGACGAAGATTTTCTTTTCCACGAGTTAATGTCATACAATAATACTGCTTGGAAAATCATTAAACCACTTTCTTCGTGTGCAACACTAGATCCAAAACATAATAAAAAAGGTTTCTTGTCGTTTTTCTATTGAAGTAATGTTTCTGTTTGAAAACGTAATTGGAAAAATTAAAAATAATGAACTCGATAACGCCGCAACGCATTGTAAAAATTTGCAGTTTTACCTAGAATTTTGTTTCCGGGTTTTTCCAATTATTTTTGAGAAACCCTGGGAAAATTGAAAAACGCACCAATCGGGTACGATTTTCCGTCTGGAAAGGCGCTACGCTACATAAATCGGAGCAAGATTTCTTTTCGAAAAGTTGTTTACGGACGGAGGAAAAAGAAACGCGCGTCACAGTAAAACCGATTGATCCCTCGTTCGCCCCCATACGCCGCGAAGCTAAAGAAAAATTAAAAACATCTGATAGAACGAAAGTTATTTCAGGTGTCGGATCTTCGTGTTACACCCTGTACACTATAGGCGAAACCGGTGTGCATAAACGAGAGAATTGTCCCACAAGCGTTGTTTTTTTTTTTTTTTGCGCGCACGCCATATCACACAATATTATTATTATTATTATTATTATTGCGGTAACATTATGTTACGAGTATACCTGTATACCGCCACACATAATATATTATCGCTGGCCGTCCGTATTTTATTATATGGGTATATACCTCGGACGGGGTATATACCGCACTATACCGCGTCTAAGGTATAGTGGTATAATAATAATATGTATAATGCGTATTTATTCGCGCGCGCTCGCGTATGGTAATAATAATAATAATGGTATTATATGGACGACGCTGCTGCGGGAAATATCGTCGGTGGCGATAAAAACGCCACGGTTTCTGTATAACTGTAAAAAAAAAAAAAAAAAAAATAATAATAATAATAATAATAAACCGTCAAACAATGGGCCAGTTAAGATTATCGGATCGAAACGGGTCCGCGATGAGCGTGGGGGGCTCCTATGCGTGTGCAGTGTACACGTACATCGCGCGTACATAATATCGTCGCCGTTTGTTTCGTCCGACCGCATTATGTTAGTGTTGTGTACAGGTTGTGTACATACACTGTACACGTATGGAAGCAGGCATCTCCGGCGGGTTTTTTATTTCCATATGGGTACGTATTTTATTTTATTTTATTATTATTTTTTTTT